TATACCGGTCGTACGGTATAATTTGCGAGTTTGAAACCCGCTAGGCACATAAGAGTTTGAAACTCAATGGGCTGAGTTTCAACCCTGATCACTCCAGGCTCCCCAAGCCCCCTCTCTAGAACCCCTGGAGAAAAAAAAGTACGGCTCATTAGACTATTATTATTTGTGTAATATATTCACATACACAATATGAATTTAAATAGCAATGTAATTGCAATAAATAAAATTTTCTTTCAGATAACTCAATTATGTACCAATTAAATCAAACCTAAACAACTACTCATAAGTTGAAACTTAAGCATATTAAATCAAATCCAAACAAATTTTTCTAAGTATTGCCATTTGCATTTCTACTTTCTACAAATCACCTCTCATATGTCATATCCGAGCAAGCTAATTAACTACTCCCTTCGTCCCGCTATTAACTCCCTACTTTCCTTTTTGGCCCGTCCCAAAATAATCTTCTCATTTCCCTAAATGGAAAGTTATCCTACATCAAAACAATGTCAAACAGTGCAAAACAGTGCCAAACAGTGTCTAAACAGTGCCAAACAGTGTCTAAACAGTGTCTAAACAGTAAAGTCAAATTTATTTCCTAAATATGTGTGTAGATCAAAGTAGGAACTTAATAGAGGGACGAAGGGAGTATGATTTAAGTGTTGGATCGTTTGTTCACATTTAAATGTGCAGATCACTTACTTTGCTATTGTGGAGCAATGGAGCATCTCTTATTTGCTAAAATTATATGAGTTTTTTTACAAGAATATTACTAAAATAAATCTTATTTACATAAATATGACTATTCATTACTACAACGTAGTGTTGTGGTAACTTAAGTTCAAAACTTGAACACGAATTACTATGATTTCATTACTACTCTAGTAACTAATCATATTTTTGTAAGTCATCTTTATTGTGGTCATATTTATGTAATTATTTCAAATTATATTCTTAAGTTTCTTAATTGGGGTGGGGTGGGGTGAAATCATGGACTCATGTTGATCTTGAAGATGGATACTATGCTACCACCATTTTTTCAATCTTCATAGGGTTTTTACACACATGATGGAAAGAAAACTCAGCTAATTACTTCATAGATTTTTTCCTAATATGTGCTTATCGATTGAAAACATGCACGAGGCATTCAATTTGGTTACATACATTCTTTAATAATTTCTGTAACCTAATATCGTATAATATCCAGACTCCTTGAGTTTGATTTAATTTCTTTAATGGTCGTTCACATATGATTTAATTAACGCCAAAACCGATTCAAGTTAAATGACCAAATCCAATAATTGAACTTATAACTTTTCAACTAAATCTAGCTTGAGTATAAAGTTTAGTTTAATTAAAAAGTTCAAAATCACAATTCCATCCAGGGAAACTAGATCACTATAGTAATATATAATACGTTCTACGTAGTATATGTTTCAAGTGTGTTATGTAGAAGAACATCTATTATACGAATGTATAATACTACGTATATTTTTTGTTTAAATGAATGTATTATACTTTAGTACATTACTAAGATTCAATCATCCATAACGCCTGAAGTAGCTTGACAATTAGTAAGCTTTTACTAGTAAAAACCAATTGCTCACAACTCATTTATTTTTTCCTTTATGAAAAAGTAGGAAGTTAGTTTTATTATTTATCTTGAAATTGGAAGAGACATGAGGCAGTTCGATACGGGCCCGGGGGTCACGGGAATCGGTAATGGCGGTCATGTTTAGAATCGAGGCCCACCAGCCCCGTTCGTTCCATTTTTTACATTTAAACCATTGGAAGCATTTTAAAGTTAAAGAATTGTAAATGCATTTAAAAGCTGAAAAATGGTTGGTAGGGGTTGGGGTGGATTTTAAAAAAGTTACAAAAAATTGAGATTAAACAAGGATAGGGACTGATTAGCATGGAGGACCAGAATTGGCTCGAAACCAGAAATAGATAGATGTCCAAATTCCTATTGCCCTACTGCCTCTCCCAATGATTGGTGGGTCTGTGACCTCAATCGGACCGGATCCACTGTAGCTACATTTCTCTCAATAATTTCTTCATTGTAATACAAATTCCATTGACATTATGTATAATGAAGGAATATTATGTGTATATCCCTAAGAAATAGTTACTATTATCAAAAAAAGGATAATGAAGAAAAATGTGACTTGATAACTTTTAGCGATTATAGTTATATTCAATTTTGTATCACAATGACTATAAAAATATGATTATAGTAACTTTCGACACATTTTTGTTCACAAATTTTACATTAATAATATTTTAGAGAAATTTCTAAATTTAAATAGATAAAACTTTTAAAATAGATGGCTAAATTGAAACACTAATGCTAAAGCTACCCCATTTTGTACCCCATTTTGTACCCCCTCCTATGTTTGTGGTTCACAAAAGCAATGAGTTAAAATGGAGTAATTATTTTAATTGAGTTGGATTTTTGTGAGCCACAAACATAGAATGAGGTACAAAATGGGATACCTCTAGCATTTCTCAAATTGAAAACGCACATTGCGAGATAATAGGCGATTCCTTAACTCATACAAGTATTAAAAGCAATTTACTCAATCAAATATTTTACTTGAACTAAACTTTTGAGTAACTTTTAATCTATGTTTAAAGTTTAGTTCAAGTAAAAGGTTCAAAGACAATTGGTCTTAAACTTTAGAGCTCGTTTTGTAGTTCACACATTAAAATATTTGAACATGAAATGATTACATGCGAAATTTAAGAAACTAATCATTTAACACGTGAAATAGATAAAATAGATTACATTGTTTGACTATTTAGTGGCGAAATTTATTTTTAAGTTACACGTAAAGATATGACATTGCTTTATAAAAAACATGCAAAACATTGTACCAGTCTCTTCCCATTTAAATATTTTACATTAAATCTTTTTAAAAAGATCATTTTTAAATAATCAAAGTCAAAAGATTAAATCTTTTACGTTCCATGGAACGATAAACTTTTCATGCAAAATACTAGTAATTGGTTCATGTGAGTTTCTATTTCTATTGAATCTACTCACTCCTTACAGCCGCAGACGCCTGTTGTTAGTCGCCGGTGGAATCTAAACGGCAATCTAAAAGTCAACGGGAAGTATCACTTGCGTGCATTTGACCTAATTCGGCAATCGACAGCGCCGGCAAATCGGTAACTGCACTATTTCTGGCTGCGGCGGCGTCAGCAGTAATATTGGGCGGCTGGAAATGCGTTGTCTTATTTCGTCTGCAGGCCTTTAGTAGTGTTCAAGCAAGGATCCAGATGCTGCATTACTGGTATTTCATCTTCTATTTGCAATTGGCAATTATCTTGTTCTTTTTATTCCTCTAGAAAGTTGAAGGATAAGACTGTTTAAGATATTGAGAATTGAGAAATGGTAAGAATATTGAGTTGTTGGAATGAATTGGTAACAATATGGAGTTTTTGGAATAAATCCTTTTTTTGGGGGGGGGGGGGTAAGGTTTCTGGTCACAGAGATTGGGAGACTCTCCTCTCCTTGCAGAATAGACTGGATAAGTCAATGGTAAATAATGGGGCGTGTGCTCCCCTGGATCATCCCCATTGTTCTACTTGAGACCTTTCAAATTGAAACAGAAGGTTACTTTAGGCAAATTTTAAGAACCATACCTATTATTTAGCAACCTCTATCAGATGCAGTATCCTAACGATCGCTAGAAAGTAGACTTTGTGCTAATATGTAATTGGACTTGGGTGGGCAGCGTAGTTAAATTTCAGTGTAGAAGTGTAGAACAAGCATATGAGAATGAAATGATGTGGTGTTTTAGGTTCAAGAATCTATGAAGACAAAATGCCAAAAGGTAGCTGAAATATTTGCATTTGAAATTATATCTTCTTCTAAGATCTAAGTAGTCCAGTTCATTCTTAAGAAAGGTTAGTATAGTTCTTTCTTATTCTATGGATGGTCTTTGTATTCCTCTTCGTGCAGTTTGGCGGAATGCCCCAATATATGCAATTTGATTAGAGATGGTGAAGATGGACGGTAATACACATTCTCTATGTCATGTCCATTTTGTATATGCTACCTCTGCAGTCACTGCCTCTGCCAGTGGTGAAGGGATCCCATGTCCATGCTACTACAATGAGATAGATAGCTTGTAGGTGTAGCATGGACTGAATAGGCGAGGGATGTTATGCACGGCTCAAATGTATATATGAACATGGAGCGATTGTGGTTATCTATTTAGGGTTTCAGGAAGATATCTTTGTTACAACTATGTATCTAACCTACGCATCTTAACAAGTCTATTCAAATTACTATTTTTGAGTTCATGCCAGAAATAATTCTCAGAAGTACCCAGCTTAATCTCGGAGTTAATTTTATTTGGTTTTCATTTTCAAGTTTAATTTCATTACGGAGTTTTGCCCTCCATTTTCTCCATTGCTCCCCATCTGTTCACTGTGAATCACAAGCTGAGTCTATCCAAGTATGCCTATCCTAATCCAACCTAGTCCTTTCCCTCGATGTATTCAATCTCAAGAAACACATATCAGCTTACTGAAGAGTGATTATAGCAGAGGATATGACTGAAACGAGTATTGGGGTAAAAGAAATTGCTCATAGTTGGAGTAAGAAATAGACATAATTCACATCATCATCATTCATCATCACAAAGAGACTGTTTTCGGATGACCCATTGTGAAAACCGCGTCGAAAATTGCATGAACTGACTGTTGCTTCATAACAAAGAAGCGCATATAGTTTATTGAGCCATTTTGCTATATTCCATCATATTCCCAAGCCAAAAAATAGTGAATCTTTGGCTCCATTGCAAATGATGGAAATAAATAGACATAATTCACAGATAGCGTTAATTACATTTCACTCCCAATGAAGGACTTATTTGGCCCTAATAAAATGATAAAAATCAATTTGTTTGAGAGGCGCATTTATCACTTTCAGCACACACTCTGTCATGTTCACTATGAATCCACAGCGCCACCCATCCACTTTTGGTGGGAAAGTGGGATAAAACATTAGGCAGCATTTTGCAAATCTTTTATTGGGGCAGCAGGCCAGGTTTGACTAAAACGTACTACATATGGTTTTAGAAAACAGCAACCCATCATCTAATCTGCAAAGAAACCCACTCGAGAGCAAGCAGTTTAATTAACAATTACTGCCAAACACCACTTCAAATATTTGGAGGATCAGAAAACTCCCCAAGAACAGTTTGTTTATGATTGGTTCGGTTGAAATGTCATTTCAATCTGCTGCACTTTGCAGCGTTTTCAGATAAAATTGAGTTCAGCATTTGGATAAATGCTTATTGCCAAACATCCCCAACACACAAAAGTCAGTCAGTTGCAGTTACATAATCTACTGCTTTATTACACCATCAGAACATTCATGTCACACTTTGCTAGTAGCAGACTCTTCAGATTCCAAGTCTATCACTGGCGGCTCGCCATTCTTGATCACTGTACTAGGTTGTCTTCTCACAATCCAATCATCCATGGGGTCCACCTCCACATTTGACAAGTCATTGTTCTCATCTGCCCAGAAATTTTGCAAGTACATATTATAATGGACAAAAACCAGATCCTTCAGCCTTGCTTGCTCCGTCTTGTTTCTTCCTTGTGTGAGTAAGGCTTCTGCCAATGTCCTCTTTAGGTTATATTTTGAGGCACCATTACATGTCTGATTCAGGATCCGGATAGCAAGCCTCTGTAATTGTGGGCATTCCCGTCCATACTTTGACCACCAAATTGCTGCAAACCACAGTTTTTAGGAACTTCTAGGTTATAGACCTTGTTTGATTTGCAGATCTTGGAGAGGATGGAGGGCAGGAATAATTATTACTCCATCCGTCCCAAAATAAATGTCTGCGTTTGCTTTTGCACAAGTTTTAAGAAAGTGGTTGAAAAGGTAAAAGTTGTGGTTGAGAGTTGAGTAAAAAAAGTGAATTGATATGAGTCACACATTATTGCTAAAAGAGGAAACAAGACATTTATTTTGGGACTGACCGAAAAGGAAAGTAGGAAAGTTATTTGGGGACGGAGGGAGTATTTGACTAATTTATTTTATGTTAGCCAAGCTATAATAATTATGTGTTTAGTTAAATCATTTATTTCTATGCACTTTTTCATCTTAAAGGGAAAAAGTTCAAACAGACTGTTCTGTCTTTTCCAATCAACATTTAAGCCTCTTTACTTAAAAATTATCATATCAGCCCCCCTTACTTCAAAAAATCGATCCGTTGAGCCATTTAACCGGTTTTTGACATGCTATATCATTTTTCTGAAATAAAAAACTAAGATTTTTTTTAATTGAATCACAACTGTATAAGTTTAAGAATGTCAAAACATATACGTAGTATATCTTTTGTGATTTTGGAATTATTTGTATATCCTACATCTCTTTAAATGTTTTTAACTTAATTTTTTTTTTACATTTTCATTTTTGGATATTTTTTCTATTTTTCGATTTTCACTTTTTTAAAATTATATACCTAATTTTTACATTTTACTTTTTTTTTTATATATCCATTTCTATATTTTTTACAATTTATGTTTTTAAAAAATATAAATTTCCTTATTTATTTATTTTTCTTTTAAAAATGACCTCCTATAGCAGGTCAAGATGATTGACCCGATTATGTTTTCAAAGTAAACATGCTTGTGAATATTGTTTTTAGCATATAAACTCAAGTGATGATTTGATATAGAAAGGCCTTTTCCCTAAACTAAATATCACCTCTACCCTTCACCCCCCCCTGAATTTCCATCCACTGAACAAGGGAAGAAAGAGATTGCAACTAATTTAATGCCATGGAGGGCAAACGTACTAAAATTCACTCATCAGTGGGGAGCTAGGGAGGGGTTGGAAGGTTTCTATTTATTGTGTTAAGTATAAGTAATTACAAGCTATATAAAAATGCTTGAATATGAACCTCTGCCCCCACCCCCGATCTTGTTTACCTTCAAACCCCTCTAGTACCTTTATTCCTCATAAATCATAATGATACAAAAATGTCATGACGTAAAGTGATGATATCACATAAATACCCCTAGTGCTACTTTATTGCGGAGTATGATTTTTTATTCATCCAAAGATATCATCATATAAAAGTCAGCAGCCAATTCAGGATATTCAATATTAATATTATTAGTCCATAAAATCAAACAACCTCAGTAAGAGTAAAATTCAGAAAGCATCCCAACTCAACAGTGGGAGAAACAAAAAAAAGTTCCAGCGAAACAGCCCACACAGCAATCCTCAAACAATGAAACCTAGAATGTTGAAGTATTACAAAACCATTTTTTCCGCATTTAGTGCTATATAGATATCTTTAAGATTTGATGTGTGATGCAACAAGATAACCATAAATTAAGTTCTTTTGTTTGATTAGAAGTTGACCAAAACTTTTGTGACAAATGTGGAGTTCAAATATATTCATTTCCATGTTTGACTAGATGCTAAGTTGCTAACAAGTTTGCAAGTAAGCTTTGTTATTTTCCACTCCTTGTGGTGGAACCTGACCTACGAAAGTAACAAGTAGAAAAATCAAGGATGAAGCATTAACAAATGTTAGAAAAAATTGTCTTTGGAGTTCAGATTGATTAAATCAATTTAGAAAGGAGGTTTTTCTTACAAACATTACTAATAGAAAAGTAATGGTAAAAAATTTGACTTAATAACTTTTAGTGATTATAATTGTGTTTAAAGCTTACATCATAGTCACTACATCGTAGTAACTTTGAACATAATTATAGTAACGAAAAGTTATCAAGTCACATTTTTGTCCGACAATTTCCCATTAGTAAAATTAGTGGATTTTTTTCTTTAGAAAGTTTAGTTTCACTAAACACACAAAACATTTATTTAACCTAACGAAGAATATGAAAACCGAGAAAAAAAAAACAAACAAACAAACAAATATTGCTGAAAGTTCAAAACCTGGATCTATATTTTCCAGCTGAGGATCCTTACTGCCTACTCCAAACAGGCCTTTGCCCATCCGGTACTGCTGGATCTGCATCACGATCAAATCCTGAACGCCAGAATCTGCCGTCATACGGACAATGCAGCAACAAAATCCACAAGAAACTTCGGCATCATCATAGAAATCGCTCGAATAGAAAATACTAGGGTTCAAAAAGTACCCCGCAGCGTGGAGAGGGCTATGGAGGTGCTTATTCCATATCTCATCTATTGCTTCCCAGAATCTCACGTATTGGGATTTCTTGTTCTTGAATTCTAACTTTATTGTGTCTTTAGCCTGGTCTATAGTGTCATATATTGAACCCATTTGTGGCTTATTACTACTGCTTATCAGCTTTAAAACGTTCACAAGTGGGATAGTGGCCTTTAAGACCATCAAAGCCCCTTCCCAAAAAGTCTTATCTCCCACCAAGTCAACAACCCTTTGTCCATCACCGGTTTTAGCACACTCTAAGGTTTTCCAAACGGGTGAGAGAAACATCCTTTGCAAGTTTCTCTTCTCCATGAACATGTTCTCTAAGGTGAGGAAAGGAACAATTGACCTTATCTTGGAAGGCTTCATTAGCTCATCAACATTTGGACAAAAATCTCTTAATAGTTTTAAGACACTGTCGTGATCGTAAACAAATTGTGTTATACTTTTTGCTTTACTCAATATTTCGTTTACGTCTTTCATTGTCTCGAATTTCCTCAACATGAGCTCTATGCAATGAGAAGCACTCACTGTCCAAAAATACGTCTTACATTTCTCATTTACCCTTTGGATCACATCCTCCATGAAAGAAGATGTTGAGTATGTAACTATTTGAACCAGATTATCAACCCCGACCTCCTCAATGACCTTTCTAAGAAAAGCTTCCTTTTTAACCACGTCATTATCTATGGATGAAATGTCAGCACATTGATGAAAAATTGTGCCACTTGGACAATCCACTAAGATAATAAGAAGCTTCCGGCCTTCAGAGTCCACCCATCCGTCTAACAATATGCTGCACCCTGTGGCTGCCCATACGTTCTTGATGTTAGAAGTGTAATTTTGCATCTCTTTTACTGCTTCCTGTAGGACACGCCCCTTCAATTCATGATAAGTGGGGATGTCCACTGACCCGTTGATGGATTTTATCATCTTCCGGAAGCTAGGCGATTTTGCCACCTCAAAGTCAACTCCTGTCTCGTAAAAGAACCTCCCGATGCATTTCTGGGCTTCGTTTAAGGGTGGGTCCACTTGTCCGATTGGAAAGGCTGAATCTTTTTCATTGTTTGCCAATGTAAAGTGCATTTCTGGATTCGGGTTGATGGAAGTTCCACTGCAGGGCGTCTGGATGCTTTCTTGTTTGACAATCTTGGAGGGACTGTCAACTTCTGTCTCGTAAAAGAACCTCCCGGTGCATTTCTGGGCTTTGTTTAAAGGTGGGTCCACTTGTCTGATTGGAAAGGCTGAATCTTTAACATTGTTTGCAAAGGGATAGTGCGTTTCTGGATTTGGGTTGGTGGAAGTTCCACTGCAGGGCATCTGGATGCTTTCTTGTTTGACAATCTTGGAGGGACTGTCAACTCCTGTCCCATAAAAGAACCTCCCGATGCATTTCTGGGCTTTGTTTAATGGTGGGTCCACTTGTCTGATTGGAAAGGCTGAATCTTTAACATTGTTTGCAAATGTAACATGCGTTTCTGGATTCAGGTTGGTGGAAGTTTCACTGCAGGGCGTCTGGTTGCTTTCTTGTTTGACAATCTTGGAGGGACTGTCAATTCCTGTCTCGTAAAAGAACCTCCCGATGCATTTCTGTGCTTCATTAAATGGTGGGTCCACTTGTCTGATACGGAAGGCTGAGTCTTTAACAGTGTTTGCAAATGTAAAGTGCATTTCTGGATTCGGGTTGGTGGAAGTTCCACTGCACGGCGTCTGGATGCTTTTTTGTTTGACAATCTTGGAGAGACTGTCAACTCCTGTCCCGTATAAGAACCCCCCGGTGCATTTCTGGGTTTCGTTTAATTGTGGGCCCACTTGTCTGATTGGAAAAGCTGAATCTTTAACATTGTTTGGAAATGCAAAGTGCGTTTCTGGATTCGGGTTGGTTGAAGTTCCACTGCAGGGCGTCTGGATGCTTTCTTGTTTGACAATCTTGGAGGGACTGTCACACCGGTTCCTCTTCAAAGGAAGGGTTGGAAGGTTGAGCTCCTCAAAATTCTTTATTACATTCCCAAATCTCTTTTGCAGTAACTCGGTTCTTAGCATTTCCCTCACTCCTACGGGGACTTCTGGACAAGGAATAACTTCTCCACGAATCCCTCCCAAGTGGCATTTAAGACGAGTTAGGCTAGTAACCACTTTGCTGCAATACTTGCATTGATATTTCCGATGTTGTGGATCCACAAGGGTGCCAAAATCGCAGGCTTCAGTAGACATTGTCAGCGTTTGATTTTGTTATGTAACCAAGAATCTTTTCCTGGACTTCGTCAAGGCACCTATTTTAATACAACAACAATCATATTCTTTCATAACTCAACATATAAAAATATAAATAAAATATCAAAGATGATTAAAAAGGGAATATTGAAACATAATCTTGAAAATTAATAGAAAATACTCATCTTAATGGCTTGTTTGGTTCGATTGTTTCGAGGAGAGGAAATGGGAGGAGTGATATTATTATTTTTAAATAATATCTACATTTAGCAGGTTGGAAGTAAGTGAAGATATATTACTATATGGGAGGAGTGATATTAATTTTTTAAATAATTTTTACATTTCTTAATAAAAGCTTTTTAAAAAAAAGAGATCGATAGTGCAACTAACAACGTTGTTACTGGCAGTTTATTACTAACAGATCAAAACAATATATTAGTGACATTAAAATAAGTTGTCCTCTGCACTTTCTTCTGGAATCCCCAAATCATATCAGCCCTAGAAGCCCACATTTTCCATATAACTTCATGTGCTTTGCTTTACCAATTGACGGTCAAACGCGGCAAACTCTTAAGGGTGTAAGGGACAAATAGATACAATAAAAATTAGTACAGCAGCAAACTTTAGCAAAGAGTATCAGTTGGACTCTCATTCATTTGATACGGCAGCAACCAACATTTGCTTGTAGACTCCCTAAAATGAACTGAGAAAATGATCAGTCATGCAGATTTTTTCCCTACTGACTGTCTGACTCATAGAATTAGATATAAACATACGAAAATCTGAAGCTGGAAAATGATAATCTAAAAAATGAACTAAACAAACCCACAAAGATTAAGGCGTACATATACTTCTATAAAACATACTCCGTATATAAAACAGAAGAAGGAACACGGGATAAAAATTATTATTTTTAGGAAAAATTGATAGTAATAATCCCAACTATTGGCGGTCCGCTTATAATAATCCCAACTATTGATTATTTCAGAATTTTCCAACTTACTCATAAATGAGGACAACTTAATTAGAGTGATAGAAAATATGAGTACTAGTAAAATTAGAGTGAACTATTTCACAAAATATCTCTAAAGTTACATAAAAACCGACAATAGACTTTTACCACATTTAATTGAAATTAAAAAAATAGGGTATTCATAATGATAAGAAATATCATTATCAGTATTCTTGCTATTTTATATATAGTAATATTTAAAATAGTCGTATTTAAAATATTAACACTGAAAATAAATGAATATATATGTGTGTGTGCTTGCATATACTTACATATATTATAAGTAATAGTGGTAGTAGTTATATAAAGTAAAAGTAAGTACCCCGTATAATGTTTAATACTTTTTCCGAAAGTTACTAAATAATGAACAAAGTTAAATTAAATATATATACTTTTAAATTTCTATCTTTAACAAACATATTACGTCTTAACAGCTAATTGCAAACATCTAAGACTATGTTACCAAACATTGAGTAATCTGGCTTGTTTCTAGAAGTTTTAGTTTTCAAAACAACTAAAACATTGATACAAACAATTATTATCTATATCCCGATATTGGTTCCTGCATCAAAGTACATTTACCGGTGCACAAACAAATATGTGTGGGAGCGCAAACCAATGTCTTTTCAAAGACAACTATTGTCCATGGAAAAGTATAAGAGTATTCAGATATATCCTGATTTGTTGTTCTCATAGATGCTAATTTTCTACGGGTCATCCGGAAACAGTCTCTTTGTGCTCTAGTACAAAGGTAAGACTGCGTACATCCGACCCCCCCTTACCCCACCGTAGGTGGGAGCCTTTGCGGCACTGGGGTAAATGAAAATGAAATGAAAATGAAAAATGATAGATGCTAATTTTAAAGTTACAATTCTCAGTTGATCTATTCATGTTGATATTAAATTTGAAGAACTGACTTATGGATATATTTTGTTTGATATGAAAATGCACTAAGAAAATGAGGTAAAAGGATCAAACTATATATTACTACCTCCGTCCCAAAATGATGGTCTTGTATTTCTTATTTGGAGTGTTCCAAAATGATAGTCACCTTTCCCTTTTTGGTAAAGAAATTAAAATAGACTACCATTTATACCCCTTCTTTTTAATGAACAGTAAAAGTAAAGGAGTGAACAATACAATAAAGTAAGGTTATATGGGTCCTTCTACCACCTTTTCTTAATATTTGATCCCAAAAAGTATAGGACCATCAATTTGGGACGGAGGGAGTATAATTTTAATAACTTTCATGATTAAAGTTTAATATTTTTTGAATATTCGAATAAGAATCAAATATTCAAATAAGATTCAAGTATATTCTAATATACCAAACGAACTGAATACAAATATAAACGTGATTCGAATATTAAAGGAATACGAATGTTCGATAATTAAACAAATAATATTATCAAATATTCAGTTCGATTCGTTTACGATCCTAATCATATCATCATACCCTAATGATATACGTAACTATGAATTTAAGTGTTGGATTAGTTGTTCACATTTAATTGTTTGACTCTCTTACTTTGCTTTTGCGAAGTATCACTAAGATGTGTTTGCCTAAAAGTACATTTTCATGTCTCTTAATGGGGGTGGTGGTGGTGGTGGTGAAGTCTGATTGTGTGAAATCATACTCTCGCGTTGATGATGAAGATGGTTACTATGCCAGTCTAATGCCACCACCCTTCAATCTTTATGGGGTTTCTACACACATGATGGAAAGAAGTTGATTCAGTTACTTCCTAATAAATTTATTTTTTTCCCTAAAATGTCCTATTGAATGAAAATATGAAGTATTCAATTTAAAACACTCTCATACTTTTGTTACTAAGTTCCCTATTTGGAGTAGTAATCCATCTCCAATCTCCTTAAATTTGAGTATAGATCTCATGTGAATGGACTGTTGGAAAAATGATTTATTTAATGTCAAAACCAAGTCAAATGACCAGATCTAGAAGTTGAACTTATACCTTTTCAACTAAGTTTAATTTGATTATAAAGTTTAGTTTAATTAAAAAGTTCAGTCAGAATTCCATCTTAGGCAACCATATCATCCATATAATGCATAATATCTGTTTCAAGTGGTTTCTGAAGAGGGAAACTAATATGGTTGCTGCTTCCAAACCAAATGGATACATAAAGCTGTTGTACAAGCTTGTCTTATTAAAAGCTCACTTTCTGTCAAGCTACTTTAAGCATTGTGGATAATTGATTCTTTGAGCCTCCAGTTTCTTCAAGCATTGCACAATATGAGCTTTAGAAGGTGGGGATGCTCACAAATTGCTTATTTTTTTCCCTTATTAACTTATTAAGTGATCTTAGTGATGTCCCTTGAGTGGCAAACTCTTGAGGGACAAATAGATACAATAAAAATTAGTACATCAGCATACTTTAGCAAAGAGTATCAGTTGGACTCTCTCATTCGTTTGATACAGCAGCAACCAACATTTGTGTATAATCTCCCTAAAATGGACTGAGAAAATGACCACTCATGCAGATTTTTGCTCTACTGACTGTCTGACTCATAGAATTAGATATGAACATAAGAAAATCTGAAGCTGGGAAACGATAATCTAGAAAATGAACTAAACAAACCCACAAATTAGAAGATGGAACATAGGATAAAAATAAAATCTTTTCAAAGAACTTGATAGAATGTTGACTGATGGGGTCTTTACCGAGTCAGCTTAGCTTGAAGAAACAAGGCGAGCAAGAATTTCGAGATAAATCCTTTCCCGTTTTACTCTTCATTAGCCATTCTTCTTCCTGTTCTGAATGAGAAGATGATTGAAGAAGATGGTGATCAGCTCTGATGCAGAGAGTAGAGATAGACGGGGTGAGATGATGAGAGAAAAAACGGCTGCAGAAACAATTTTTCTCCTGTCTGAATCTCGACACTCCTCTGTAAGTGGACCCTTATAAAACGTTTCTTTTGAAAGATAACTTTTTACCCTTATAAAACTCCTCTGAATCCCAGAGTATGATTCCTATATCCGGTATGAGAGTTAATTTTTCTTTATTTTTAAATTTGACATAATATATTTTCCTTAATGGCGTAGTGAGATTACTGAGATACACCACAAGGTCCAAAATGATGCGTGTTAAAAACTGGTCTCCCCTGATAACCATGGTTAGTATACATGTTGCTAGTGAGTTTACATTTTGACGCGTGTTAAAAATGGGCATAGTGAGTTTACATGTTGCTAGAACCCAAATTATGAAATTTGTTAAAAAACGAGGTCATTTTTCCCAACCTATTCATGCATGAGCAGAAAATACGAGTCCTAGTAAAATGATAGTGAACTATTTCACAAAGTATGTCTAAAGTTGCACTAGAATCCGTTTGGTGACCCTGTTACTGCTTATAAGGCTTATTAGCCAACTTTTTCACTAAACCCGTAGCATTTTGTTTCACGCGCTAAATTGTGTAATAACAAGAAAAAGTGAAGTTTAAAAAAAAGTGAGGTTAGAGTTACTTTTGTGGTTGTATTAGCTGATGCTATCGTAAAAGATCATTTTAGCTATTTTCATATAATTTTTCTTTATATTATTAATAAAAAATTAAACATAATTTTTTTTCATAAATCAGCAGAATCGGCAAATCCAACCACTTCAGCCATAATTTCATAAATTTCAACAAAATCAGCCTTTTCAGCCAATTTCAATGTTACCAAATGGGTTCTAAAACTGAAAATAGACTTTTACCACCTTTTAATTGAAATTAAATAAAAATAGTGTATTAATAATGATAAGAAATATCACCAATATTCTTGCTATTTTATACGTAGTAATATTTTTAAAATAACTAATAAAATAGTCCTATTTAAAATATTAACACAGAAAATAAATGAATTATATGTGTGTGCTTACATATAATTACACATGGAGTATATTATTAGTAATAGTGGGAGTACTTATATAAAATAAAAGTAAGTACTCTGTATAATGTTTAATACTTTTTCTAAATCTTATTAAATAATTAAAAAGTTAAATGAAATATTTATACTTTTAAATTTCTATCCTTAAACAAACATATTGCGTCTTAACAGCTAATAACAAACATCTAAGTTACCAAACATTTAGTAATTTGGTTTATTTCTAGAGTTTTTCCCCGAAATAATGCTAATTAAATAAATAATTCTCAAAGTACTGCTAGGTTAGAAATAATTCCCAATATACTGCTGGGTTAACCATGGTTAAGAAAAGCCGCCACTTGAAGTGGCGGCTCTTCTCTTACAGTACAAAAGCCGCCACTTGAAGTGGCGGCTCTTCTCTTACGGCACATTTTGTACATATATAAAACGTAGTATGTTTCAAGATTTTTTTAACTATCTTCCCGATTAAGTTTTGAGCTGAAATTTGGTATGAATAAACTAGACTTGATGAAGAACATGCTCAAAAAATTTTATCAAAAAACTTCACCGGGAAGGCCCTCTGATGATGTTGTCCGCACGGGGGTTCCGGTCAGAACTTCGTGACAGGAATAAGACATTTTTATGAAATTTGAGGGGCTTCCGAGTCAATTTTTTTGATAAAATTTGGTGATCGTGTTCATCCTAAAGTGTATGTTATGTTCACCCAATTTCAAATTCAAATTAAATCAAGAAGTTAGTTAAATAATTTATTGAAGCAAACTGCATTTTTAGGCCGAAAAACTATGCAATTTTTAAAAATTTATTTAACTAACTTCCCGATTGAATTTCAATCGAAAATTTGGTGGACATATCTACATTCCATGGGAACATGCTCACCAAATTTCATCCAACAAATTCGACCCGGAAATAGTTCAAATGAAATAGGTCTAAAATTGAAACTTTTAGACGGCACGAGACAAATTACATGAACATTTTCAGAAGGCACGGGACAAAATTTTTGCCCAAAAAATTTCAGAAATTATGCAACTAAATCGTTTGGTATGTTATTTTCCGGAAGCAATATTTTATTATTTCTTATTGCTTCATATTTGTTGATAATTTGTCCATAAGTCATCATGTTTTAGCTGCATGTGTTATATATGATATGCATTTCCATTTTTACATTACTTTGAGCATTTCCATCAATAGTTTGTATGTTGTAGGATTACACATGCTTCTCTAGATTATAGAATTTGAATTTACCATTGCCTTCTAGATATGAGCTCAAGTGAATTGGGTGAAACTGTGATTGTGCAATTGGAACTTAGAGCAATAGTATCGGTTGATAAAGTTGATACGAGTGTTGAAACTGTTTCCTATGACCATAAACTGCTCAAAGAGAGTTCATATTTATTTAGCAAGTGGAAGAGAAAGAATTGTTTGTAAGGGCATAATGATGGCGGTGATAGCTCGAATCTTCAGTTGGTTCCTTTCAATCGGGAAGTTAGTTAAACAAAATTTTGAAATTGCACAATTTTTAGGCCTAAAAATGCATGTTTTTTCAATAAATAATTTAACTAACTTCTTGATTTAAATTTAATCTGAAATTTGGTAACATAACCTACACTTTAGGAAGAACATGATCACCAAATGTCATCAACAAAATCAACTAGGAAGCACCTCAAATTTCATTAAAATGTCCTATTCCTGTCACGACGTCCCCGACCGGAACCCCCGTGCGGACAACACCATCAGAGAGTCTTCCCAGTGGAATTTTTTGATTAAATTTTTTGATCGAGCATGTTCCTCATCAAACCTTGTTTATTCATACAAAATTTCAGCTCAAAATTAAATAGGGAGGATAGTTAAAAAATTCTTGAAACATACTGCGTTTTATATATGTATAAAATGTGCTGTAAGAGAAGAGCCGCCACTTCAAGTGGCGGCTTTTGTACTGTAAGAGAAGAGCCGCCACTTCAAGTGGCGGCTTTTCTTAACCACGATTAACCCAACAGTATTTTGAGAATTATTTTTAACCAAACAGTATTTTGTAATTATTTAATTAGTTAGCATTATTTCGGGAAAAAACTCTTATTTCTACAAGTTTTAGTTTCCAAAACAACTAAAACATTGATACAGACAACTAGTATTTGTTAGTATTTGTGTACTATATTAGTTTCTCTGTCAAAGTACACTTACCACCGTTACCAGTGCACAAACGAATGTGTGTGGGAGCGCAAACTAATGTATTTTCAATGACAACGGACAACCATTGTCCATGAAGAAGTATATGAGTTTTTAGATATGTATTGATGTTGTTCACATAGTTGCTTACGATAGTATTTTAGAGTTATAATTCTCAGTTGATAATTTTCAAAAAAAAATCTCAGTTGATTTATTTATATAATTATATTGATGTTAGATTCGAAAATTATATTAATCTCAGTGAATTTGAGTTTGCACCCCATGTTTTGGGTGCTATTTGACTTTGCACCCTATTTTCAAAATCATTAGTGTATGCACCCCAATTCACTATAAAATCATTTGACTTTGCACCCCACTCCTTCATAATTTTTGGGCTAATGGGGTGCATACATTAATGATTTTAAAAATGAGGTGCAAACTCAAATATCACCCAAAACATGGGGTGCAAACTCAAATTCTCCCTAAATTTTATTTGATATGAAAAATGTACTACTACCTCCGTCCCACTAAGATTAGGACGAAAGAAGTTGACACGATTATTAACAAAAGTGAGTTTGTATGGTTGATATTAAATTGATAAAGTAAGAATAAAGTAAGAATGATTTAGAGCCACACAATCTTTACCAAATTTGGTATGAGACAATCTTAGTGGGACTTCCCGAAAAGATAAAATGGGACAATCTTAGCTGGACGGAGGGAGTATTAAAATGAGGTAAAAGGGGAAAAATATACATTTAAAATTTAATAATTTCCATAATTAAAGTTTTAATGTTTTTTCGAATATTCGATGAAGATTTGAATATTCAAATAAGATTCACGTATATTCGAATTACCAAACCAATCGAATATAAATATAAATATGATTCGAATATTAAACAAATATGAATAATATTTTTTTCCACCATCCCAAAATATTATTCCCACATTGACTTGGCACACAAATTAAGGAAGTGAGAGTAAATTGAAAATTATGGTTGTAGTTGTGTAAGAAAAAGTAAAATGAATATGAGCCACACAAATTGTCCAAATATGGTAGTGGGAAGCCAAATATGATAAGTGAGAAAAACTTTTTGGGACGGCCCAAAAAGGAAAATCGGAAGAATTTTATGTGACGGAGGGAATATCAAATATTCGGTTCGATTCAATTTGTTTAGAATCCTAATCATTTCAGCATACCGTAGTGATCTAAGTAATTATGAATTTAAGTGTTGGATTAGTTGTTCACATTTAATTGTTTGTTTGACTCTCTTAGGATGTTTTTACTTGGACTGTAATTTGTCCCAGACCAGACCAGTCCAGACCAGACCAGACCAGTTCAGACCAGACCAGACCAGACTAGACCAGTTCAGACCAGACCAGACCAGACTAGACCAGACCAGTCCAAGTAAAAACATCCTTACTTGGCTATTGCGAAGGCCGAAGCATCACTTAGATCTGTTTGCTAAAAGTACATTTTCATGTCTCTTTATGGGGGTGGGGCCGTGGGGGTGAAGTGTGATTGTGTGAAATCATGGACTCGTGTTGATGATGAAGATGGTTACTATGCCAGTTTAATGCCACCACTCTTCAATCTTTATGGGGTTTCTAGTTTCTACACACATGATGGAAATAAGTTGATTCAATTACTTCCAAATAAATTTATTTTCCCCTAAAATGTGCTATTGAATGAAAATATGAGGTATTCAATTTAAAACACTCGCATACTTTTGTTATTAAGTTCCCTATTTGGAGTAGTCATCCATCTCCAATATTCCTAACCCAATATAACATAGTATCCAAACTCCTTAAATTTGAGTATAGATCTCATGTG